AGTCGACTGTGTTTCAGAGATTTATGATACATGCACGGGTAGAGCGTGTTCGAGAAGTTTCCCGATTACTCATATGCAAATGCGAAGGATGCTAGTTACTAAAAGATTACCGAAAGATCACTAGGAGAGGCAGTGTGGCTCTGAAAGCTTGTCGCGGAAGACGAGCGCGTAGGTGGCGCCTCTGTTAACTCCCTAGCATTCTAATTCGGGATGTTGCAACGATGTTTGCGTTGATACTTCGTTGAATAGTAATTTAATTGCACAGCTCAAGATTTTTAGCTCGATTGTTATACTTGCAAATTTATGAGCTGCTAGTAAATTGTGTTTTATAAATGATGTGTGTGAGATTCGTTAGGCGAGGTTAGGTTAGGTGTACGTACTAACAGAAGTTGAGAAAGGGAGTAACGAAATTTTGTATACTGTTTTCTGAGATACAGAGACTGAAATTAAAAATAAGATTTATGTAAGATATTCCAACAAATTTTTGGTTAGGATATACATAGACGTAATACACGTGGAATGTTTCATAAGTTATTTCCTAGAGTTAGGAAATTTAAGCAACTCTAATACATTAAAATTAATTACAAATTTACTTTAATATACCTAATCACAAAATTCACAAATGGTTTATATACCAGGTTAATCAAAAAGTAATATCTTTAAAATAACAGTAGATACTCTCCAATTTTTATCATCCTAAAAATAATTCTATAACTCCAAGTAACGCGTCATTTTATTTACTATGTTACGAATGGACGCGCCATCTGGTGCAAAAATCCGATACTACTCTTAACTAACCTAATACCATCACAAACTATTTAACACGAAAACCACTGCTAAATACCAACATAAAAACATAAAACCACAAATTTGTACACTCCTATTAAAATATTAAAAACAAACATAGCTCGAATTATGAATTAGGATGAACCACCCTACTAATCACAAACGTCACAATTATCTACAACAGCTTTAAAATGAGAAATCGGATTTTTATGGGATGGAAGGTGAAAAGATCAACGAAGAGCAGAAATACGAATCAGTAAGAAATCCAAAAACGAATTTTCTGAAATAAAATTCGATGACAAAGTACGAAACGCGTGATGAAGGATGGATGGATGGAAAAGAAGCTTTCCATAGCGAGGGCATAACAGATGGAGTCAAGTGAAAGTGCCAGATTTAGCAATTTGCCCATTAGCGGCGCACGCCGGCCTGGAAACGCTCGACGCTTTCCGCGTGACGGTATTCCGCAGCGTCCCTGACGTAATTCGACGCGGTGCACGCGTCTGCGCGCGCCCTACGCGCAGAACGCTCGAGCGGATTTAATTAAGAGCCCCAGGAAAGTCGGCGTGCAGCGTCTTACTTTCTTGCGACTCGCGATCGTAATTAACGAGCTTGCTCGCGCGCAGACAGTGGAGAGAGAAGCAAAGAGCGGGGAAGAAAGAAAAATGCTTTACGGTTATTTTTAGAGGCGGACCATCTGAATTTATGATCGCGATGCGTTTGGTTATTGTGCAACGAGTTCCGTGAGAACGAAACCGCCGCGCCGAGGCCGATCGCGGCCTTTTAGCGCGTTTAACCACCTCCACCATCGCGTTCGCCGCTGGTTTGCCCGATATCTCCTCCACTTTTTCTCGTCCCGCTCGTTTCTTTCGTCGTTTCTTGCGCTGACATTGCGATTAAAACATCGCCCCATTTTCTTATCTACAATCTTTCCCCCTTCCTCCTCCATCTTCCTTTCTTTTTTATTTTTGCGTTTGGAGACTTCGCTTTGGGAATGCTGGGAAATTGGGTGTGACATTAATTTTGGTATCGCGATTATAATATCGCCCCATTTTCTTATCTCGAAACGTTCATTTTTTTTTCTTTACTTTTTCCTTTTTTCTTGTCATTTTTGGGTTTGGAGACTTTGCTTTGGGAATGCTGGGAAATCGGGTGTTACGTTAATTTTGGTATCGCGATTATAATATCGCCCCATTTTCTTATCTCGAATCGTTCATCCTTTTTTTCTCTATTTTTTCCTTTTCCCTTTTTTATTTTTGGGTTTGAAGACTTTATTTTGGGAATATTGGAAAATTAATTTTTGAATTGCCATTAAAATTTCGTCCTATTCTCCTATCTTTAATCCTTCGCCCTTTCTTTCTATTTTTTTTTTAATTTTTGGGTTTGGAGACTTTGCTTTGGGAATGTTGGAAAATCGGGTGAGATTAATTTTGGTACCGTGATTAAAATCACCCCATTTCCTTATCTCGAATCGTTCATCCTTTTTTCTCTATTTTTTCCTTTTTCCTTGTTATTTTTGGGTTTGGAGACTTTATATCTATCTTTAAAATAGGGCCTTCGTTCTTTCTTTCTATTTTCTTTTAATTTTTATGTTTGGAGACTTTGCTTTGGGAATGCTGGGAAATTGGGTGTGAAATTAATTTTGGTACCGTGATTAAAATATCACCCCATTTCCTTATCTCGAATCGTTCATCCTTTTTTCTCTATTTTTTCCTTTTTCCTTGTTATTTTTGGGTTTGGAGACTTTATTTTGGGAATATTGGAAAATTAATTTTTGAATTGCCATTAAAATTTCGTCTTATTCTCCTATCTTTAATCCTTCGCCCTTTCTTTCTATTTTTTTTTTAATTTTTGGGTTTGGAGACTTTGCTTTGGGAATGTTGGAAAATCGGGTGAGATTAATTTTCTTATTGCTACTACAATTTCGTTCTATTTTCTTATCTCAGATCCTTTGTCCTTTCTTTTCTTCTTTCTCTTTTTAATTTTTGTGTTTGGAGACTTTGTTTCGAGAATATTGAAAAATCGTGGGAGATTAACTATGGCAAAATTGAAGTGATTTGAGATCTGGAGAGGGTAAAGGTTAGGATGTTTAAAGGTGATCGTAAATTTATTCCGTGGTTGAATTCAGGTTATTAGAATGTAATTAACACAGATACTGATCGGTATCCTGAATTGCCGAGTGGAACAGTTGCTTTACCGACTTACATTTTCCAGATTTGGAAAAAACAATTTTTCCTCGACTTGAGTATGGAATTTTTATCAAATAACCATGGAAGAATTCTTTATACTGATATATTATGTGATTTCTTTCATTATATTTAGTAAATTAACTTCTTTTTCCATCTAGTTTGGCAAAATTAGAAATTAGAATTACAAAATTAGGAATGATCGAAATATCTGTCCATTTCCTTCGTACAAATAATTTAAATAACGAAATTAAATAAATAAATCTAAAAATACCCAATTGTCTAATTTTGTAATATAAATGTATTCGATAAATGCCTACTAAATATTTAATAAAACAATTCATATTCAACACAATCTAAAGACCTTCATATTAAAAAAAAAAAAAGAAAAACAGTAACAACAAAACAAAACACGTAAAAAGAAAAGAAATTAGAAATTTTAAAAATTGAGCTGATTATATATTCCTAAAAAATTAAAGAAAAATTTTATCACAAGGGCCGATCACACAATGAGAGTATTAACATATTTTGCATTTGCATTGGTTCATAAAATATATATTTGTACACTATTTGCTCCATTTTTATTTCCTACAGCGTTCCTCACGAAGCGGCCACTGAATATAAATGTTATCAAACATGGCATACTTTTCGCAGTTACCTAGACAATTTTCGCTAATAAATAACGCGCAACGCGTATGGCTAACTAACAAAAGGAAGAAGGCGCATAGAAAATCGTCTGTATGTCGGAAACTATTAATTTTCAGCCCATTGATCTCGCGAGATGGAGTGATTCATACAAACAGCATTTCTCAGGAAGCCAATAGACCAGCGTTTAAGCAGTAAACAATCTGTCATCTGCATAATGTTGATAAAAAAAAAAAATCCCCGCTCTCTTATAGTCCGTTGGAATTCTCTTATTTTTTTTCCTCCCTTTTTCCTTTCTTTTTCCCAACCTGAACGATCGTGTTTTTCTCGAACCACCTTGGACTCGCCTCGTAGCGCTAGAAAATTCCAAATAAACTCGTCAACAGGCTTTGATAAAGTGTTATCCTTATAAAAGTGCAAACTTCGCTGCGCAAGCGTTTCTCATAAAAGACGAGTTAACTCGTTCTGCCTGGTTGAGAAGTTAAAAGCCGTCGTGCAACATTTTTGCCGGCGTATAAATATACACATAGACCAGCTTGTTTACTTTTCTTTGGCCGACCAGAGTAGCTGACTCCTTTTTTTTCTTCCACCATGTATCCCCGTCATAATGCGAATACCTCCAATAATCTTTCTCATTTGCACCGATTATCGCCGCACGGTTTTTCCAATTATTCGTCCAAGTCCAACTTCATTCCTGTTTTCCAATTACTTTTACCTCTATCCAATGACAGTCCACCAATAGTACCAATAGGAAGCGATGTACTCTGACTCTGTACTCCAGCAGACCGTTCAAAAGAGATCATAGAAGCCCACCATTCAGAGTGTATCGTTCTTCGAGCAATTACACAGCTCACACACGTATAGAAATACTTATATTCAACCAAATCACTAATCTTCTCGGCAGCGTTAGGTCCCAGGGACCACTCGCAATCTTCCCTCACCCGTTGTTATAGATCATTTCCATCAGCCTCGATTTCCTCACGCCTGCCATGCGAATAGGCATTCCCACGACCACAGCACCGATTTGGTCCACGTCCTACCTCGACTCGTGTTTACCATCTTTCCTCCCGTGAAGCTATTCCAATTCAAAACACCGCGGACTACCTCCGGGCACGAGTTTGAAAACAACACGACGGTGGACCGAGATTTCGTGGCTCACGAGTCACGAGATAGAAAATACGAGTGTGTCGCGACCTGTTCCGCGTCTCACTCTCGTTAGTACCGCGAACCACGCCAGACCACTACGGTCCCGCACCACTTGGGCGTCGCGAAGAGGACGAGCAACACAGGCTGACCCCAGCGCGAGGAATGGCGAAAGGAGGAAACGAGAGAGGAGAGAGAAAAGGAAAATACAAGTGACACCTGCATCGAGTCGCGCACACCCACCTTTCTCACTGCTCTCAGCCGAAGACTCTCCAAGCAAAAGGTACGTCTAGGTCCTCGGGATCGCCTGTCTCAGGACCCGCGAGATCGGGCGAAGGCGCGGATCGTGGCACGCACGCGGTTCACCTGCACCTCGGAACTTCTCGCGACGAGAACGAGCATGACCGCGGACGGATGGAGCTTTCGATGGAAAACTTTCACCGGGCCGATCACCTATGATCCTCTCTCTGCCCCACGAACCGACGAGGCCGATCGATCAACGATCGACGATCGACGACAGACTGAACGGGCGATCGGTCGACTTCTCGAAGGATCGGGCGGCAGGAGGAGGGACGCGGCGGCGCGATCGATCCATCGATCGATCGAGGCTTCGAGCGCGACGTGGAGCGGCCCGACGCTCCGGACGAGATCGTGCGACTAAAGCTCGCAGGCGCGATCCGCGAGGACGCGTCGCGCACAGACCGACCGAGCCGCCGCGCCCCCCACCACTGCCGCTCACGAATAAACTGTATCGCGCAGGCTCGGGGGCACGCCGCGCCGACGAACATCTCCGCGGACGTGCAGCGCCGCCTTTTCTTTCCACTCCCTTTCTATTCTCCGCCGCTGCTGCCTTTCGGCCCTCTTCTTTTTCCCGCTTCCGGTTCCGCGCCAGATTTCCCGCTGCGCGCCGCACCGCCGCCCCCGCGCCCTCGATTTTCCTCTCGCCCTCGTTTTCTTCCTTGCCAAGATAAGAGGTTAGAATGGCTACGCTCGCGCGTTGATGCACCGCGTTGCGTAACGTGCTAATTCCGACCGCGTCCGCGGAATGCTCGTGCACCGTGTAGGGTGGAGTGTGCTGTAGTATGAAAGCAGTTTCGCGCTCCCCTTCTCAAGGATTTCCATCTTTAGGAAGTAAATAACTGGTAAGGCACTGTGGTCCTTTGGAAACACCAAAGTTTCTCTTCTCACTGGTTGTGTTCCTTTTGAATTCCCCTAGGACAAAATGGCGTGGGAGTTTTAGTTGGTAAATGTTGGAAAATATCTTCGACTTGGAGCAAAAATTTATTTCTTATAGACTGTGAGTGACTGAACTTTGGAATTAGGGGTTCTTTCACCCTTCACTCTCGAGTCGTTCAGTTGCTTATGTGAATTTTGACAGTAACGATGTACCTTCCTTGATTATTACAGGATTGGTAAAGAATTAAGCATACATTGCCATTCTTTCATAATAAGCAAAACCCAAAATTACGATACCAAAGATTGAATATATCCTCAGCTCCTGTATTAAGAGACTGGGGTGTCTCTGAAAGATTTTCACCGCGTAAAAAAAGGAAAAAAGGGAGAAAATGGGTGAAGCGCGATGAAGTGACGATGGTTGAATGGGGAGTATGTGTACGTTTTAAACGTTTTAAAAAGGGGTTCCGATTCATGGATTTAGATAAATGTAAATCTTAGCATCGAATAATATTTTAGCATGAACGGCAACGTTTTATGTAAGAATGACTATCGTGGGATACATCAGTGTTTGTACACATCCTCTATTTCCATAAATTCATATATATTCCCAGGTGATCATTATTGCACCGGTCTAAAGCCACCTGCTTGCAAGACACCGACTTTCTCTTACAAGCTGCATTTTATATTCCGCGGATATTTAAACATACTGTCCGAGGATCATAATTCATTTATCAGGTATAATTTCACGTATAAACACGTATATAGATACGAAAATGTACGTAGATAAATGAATAAATATTAAATGGATATACAGGGTGGGGCATTTAAATGGGAACACATAAATATTTTCATTTATGGATGCATATAATATATTATAGAAATATAGTATTATATATATTAGGTATATATACCCTATAATTAATTAAGTAATAATTAGTAATTAATACCCTATAATAATTAGTATATATATATACCCTATAATTAAAATTAGAAATATATTCTGCCCAAGGTATTAAAATAAATTATACCTATATAAATATACCTAAATGTATCTTGGAAAATATATAATATACAAAAATTTGTATATCATATTGTTTCTTAACTTTTGTCAGTAAATATATATAAAATTTATTTATATGTAAATTGCTCAGTTCGAAAACAAATTTTATGTACCCTTCAGATGTATTTATTAATTTCTCAGAATTATTTATAGCGTGGAAATCATATATTATTAGACTATGCTCTTGTTTAATTCCCATGCTGTAAATAATTCAGAAAAATGAATAGATAAATCTGAAGGGTACATAAAATTTATTTCCAAAGTAAGCAACTGAGGCAAAAGAGCCGATCATAGCAGGAACAAATTTCCTGTACATTGGATGAAAATACTCGGTGAGCATCGGTTCGATACAGCACGCGAACCTTTCGAAGCGCCCTCATCCTCCGATATTTATGTGAGATTCGTCGTTCATCCGCGAATAAGCGATAAGCATTAAACATTAGCTTACTTATCGCCGAATCGACGTTGGATGCCGCGGTTTAATTGCCGCGTTCGCGGTCTAATTAACAGCCGCGTATTATATAACCTATCCGTGTAATTAACGTAAATTACTGCATCGTAATTTAGCATTTCGCGATGAAACCGAGAAAGCCCCGGCGTGTTTGCATAGCTCGCATAAATTCCTCGAGATTAAAGCAACGGGGCCATAATCTGAATACGTTTCACTCGACAGGGTAATACCATCAATGTATGCACACTGCCGTTACGATTAAACCCGTCACGTAACATTACTCGTCACACAAGTTTTCCACCGTGAAAAGTATTAGGAGCTCTCTATATCGACGAATCAACAGGTGGCCATTTGTGGTCGCGTCGCGTCGTTTAACCTCGTCGTAATATGTCTCGAAGAGTCTCGTAAATTATCCAATCTCACCAAAAAATCCGTTTCCTAGCTTCCAACTTCGATTCCAACCCTTTTTACTGAATTTCCATCTGATTTGGTCTTAATTAACGCGATTGGAAGCACGACAGTAACGTAACGCGAAACATAACCTATAAAACGTTACAAATTATCGTCGGTAGATGGCATCAAGGTCTTCGAAACAATTAATCCTACTATTCCTCTGATTATTCCGATATGCATTGCATGTGAGTGCCTAATTGAAATTTCGGAATTTATTAATAAATTTATCAACGAATTTATTAATGCGAACCGAATGCGAAGTAATTAGATAGGTTAGGAAAGTTTATATTTAGAATTAAGGAAATAGAAGCGATAGATTGGGTATTTCAGCACAGTAAGAAATATCGACTTTGATTTCCAAATGAATTAAGATGGCAACACTGAGTTAATTAACAATTTGACCTTACCAATCACCATGCTTTCCATCAAAGTGGAAAATCTATTTACGGCCTTTCCAAGATCATCAAACCCAATTAGAGTCTAATTGATTCCCGTTTCATTAAATCGGCATTTTTTCGCGCGCGTAATTAAGGCAATTCCATGCGTTACTCGAGCAATTAAATCCCAGCAAAAGTCGCGGAAGGAATATCCTCCGAGGCTATTTGGTATGTCATTCTTCGCGTGAACTGGCTCGTTATTTTCCGAGTTCCTGTTCCTACTGTATTTATATTTTCCTATGGAACACGTTTCACGCTAAACACACTGACATTTTTCTTCTTCTTTGCCTTTTCTGTTATATAAAAATTACAGTATTACATTTATGAATTTGGAAGCGAAGGAAAAATTGTGAAAAACGACGGAGGAAATAATATACGACACGATCAACCGACAAGTTGCTGAATAAATAGCGTGTAATATAATGTTTGCATATATTTATTATTGTAATTTTCCTTCGGCTTATGTTTAATAATTCGAATGTCCAAGTTACGTATCTCAAATGCGATAATACCTCGCCATGGTTGTGCAACAGTTTTCCAGTGGTATGTTTGGTTTTGAAAAATTTGAGAAGAACGAGGAAGTAATAATTCCACGAAACTGATTATACAATCATGCAAAGAGAAGTAGGTACAGACTGAACGAGGCAAGAAATATTTTATTAGTAAAAACGTGTACTCCTTGAGTTAGACCTTGCACGCATTTCTTACCTGCCTGTTTGTTTATGACGGAATGGCTTGAAAAACTGTGCGAAAGATGTATTCGCGCTTTCCCTCTTTTATTGTTCAATTTTTTACGAAATATTTATGCCAAGACTCGCTAATGGACATTCTGCATTAGTCACGGATACTTGGAAGTATTCACAGGTACGTAACAGATTTCTGGAATTTACATCGAACAGAGTAATATTTAAAATATTTTTCAAATATTAAAATACGCGAATTTAGCAAATTTCAAATATCTTTACTCAAAATGTTCTTCTTCTACTTAAAAAGATAATTTAATGTTACATATTTTGATTTATTTCAAAATATTTTACTTCCTTTTAAATTCCCTTTTTATTTCGATAATTTCAATATCTTTGGACATATACTTCGTGTCCCATAATTTGCATAATGCACCCTGTGTAAGATTAGGTACACCTCTCCTGAAGAATTCCATAATTTTCACTTTAAAGCAATTGGAATACTCGAATACGTTTCTTTCTCGGTATTACTCATCTGTAATTTAATTTTGATCATCGCTGAGTACTTGATCTGAGATACATCTCTAAGCCATTCACAAATCCTGTTCACCAGATGCTGTTCGAACATATGGTGTGCCACTTTTCAGGAAGCCCGAGGAACCGCTATGCAACGCCGTTCTGTACGACCTCTGTTGGCAAGTTCATAATATCCGTTTACGCTCTCGAGATCGTTTCTAACCTTCGCTGTGTCTACATGGACAATTAACGCGAGTTTACCAATGATTACGTTACACCTTGACCCCTAACACACCATGGGATGTCGTCAGCCTTCGAGCAAATCGCTGCGTTCTAGTGATCTACGTTTAACGGTGAAAGTATTGGTCGTAGATTTCTGTGAAATTCTTGGTTTACGATTTCTTCACTGGCTTGTACGTTTTATGTTTGTTTCATCTCACGAGATGGCCAGACTTTGTTTATTTTTCAATTCATAAGTTTTTTCATAAAAAAAAAAGAAAAAAGTAAGATAGAAAGTAACACGTGACAAAATAAAATATAAAACGAAATGTATTGTAGTTAAATTACAATTGGAACGTTAATTTCTTAACGTAAATGTTAATTGCAATTTTAGGTATGATAAAGATTTGACTCATGAAAACCGAACTTAAAGTCAGCCAATTTTGCCCATGCTGTGTAGATATGAATTTCCTGTCAAATTCTTCTATATTTGAATATTAGAATAACATCAGACATGCCTATGTTATGTAATGTCAATCATGTTACATAATATAAACCTAATCGCAAAAGTTCTTACGACTAGTCTTCTACGAAAAAATAAATTCCACTTAAATCTAATATAGTGAGAAGAAACGAGATTTGTTATT